CCGAGTTTCTGCTGCACCAGTGGCAGGTGCTGCTCAAAGTGCGCGACGCGCTCGCCGCTGCAGATGCGCGCGTGGCTGCGCTCTCCGCGGCGCAGCGCGAGGCCTACCTCGTCGAGTTCACGCAGACACTGAGTGTGGCCTTCTTCCGCCTTGTGCACCTCATGAAGCCCATGCTCGATGCGCAACCCGTCGCGCTCGACCTGCCCACACTCACCACACACGGGTTCCGTGCGGCGCACGACGCGCCCACTGCGCACGTCACTGCGTCCGGTGCCGCTCACAGTGTGTCTGCTGCCCGCGACTTCGACGACTGCGTGCGTCGTGCACAGTACGACCAGCCACAAACCAAAATCAAGACCTACCAAGACCAACTCGACGAGGCCGCCGAACAACTCCAAAAACAACTGCTCCTCGCGCAACAACGAGCGCGGGCGCCGCCGACCCCACCCGCCACCGCCGCCCCCGCACCGCCGCCAGCCACCATCCACCCTGGCATGACCACCGACCGTGACACCTAGTGGGCGTTGGTCAGAAGCATTGATCGGGCAAAGAAGTTGTCCGAAGGTAAGGTCAAGGCCAGAAAAAAAGCGTCATCCATCCGTTCGACTAGATCCGTTTGACGCGGGAGCTTCTCGTGCTGCTCAAGAATTGCTCCGGCAGGTCTGTGCCGGGGCGGAGGTCCGGGGTGATTGTCTCAGCAGCGGCGTCGACGAGGGCGGCGGCGGCGGCGTCGGCGAATAGATTGGGCAGGTGCCATATGAGCCAGGTGCCGCCGGCTGCGCAGCCGACCAGGGTGAAGAGGCCGGCAGCGAACTTCCAGAAAGGCATGCGCGGGCCGGGTCCGCCGGCCTCCATTTGGCGCCAGGTTTCGGGACCGAGTGGCACTAATGGGCGGGCCGAGGCTCGAACCACCGACTGCCAGCTGGCGGGAAGTCGCGGCAGCAGCTCGGACAGCTCCTCCTCGATTATCTCACGACTGAAAACCACGACCGGCCGCGGTAGGTGCAGCGGCTCCGTCCCGTCAAAGCGAACGAACTCCGCGTGGACCACATCTGCGTGCGAACGTCCAAAGATCTGGAAACACAGCTCGTCGGCGACCGTCGAGTTCTGCGCCGCTTCCGACAAGTGCTGTTCCACCGCCTTCAGGAGTGCGGACTCAACCACGCCGTCCTGCGTATTCAACAGACGCAATCCACTCGCGTCCCATACGACGTCGAAAGCGGCACCTGCAGCCCGGGCCTCTCCCTCTCGGACCCTTGCGGGGGGGTCCGAGAGGCCGGGCCTGGCGGCCGCGGCGAGGAGGTCCACGTTGTCATCATCATCTGCTTGGAGCGACTCGTTCACGACGTAACTGAAGCCCGATCCGCCGGGCAGCTTCCCCAGGACGCGTCGTGGGACCAGCACCACCGCGGCCGTCGGCGTTTCGCTGTGCACCCCGATTTTCACAATGCGCGCCACACATGCGTGTGTGTCCGACAACTTGCCCGCCGGCGTCAACAGCGAGGCCAGCATGTCTCCAAACCCGCAGACCTCTTGGTTCGTTGACAACGACAGCACTGTTTTCATCGACCAGGAAATAATAACACTCTCGGCCCGGATCACGGCCTCATCCTGCCTGTTGCCTCGAACCGGCTAGACGTGCATGGCCTACGATGTTACGGCACTACGCAAGTTCGAAAAAACGGCACATACAGCGACCCAGGTTATTTTAGATGAATCCAGCTGGACCCAAGATGCAGGACTTGCGCTGGTCTTACGGCCTCAGTGGGTCTTCCAGCATTGGGTATTCTGGAACCCGCGTGTTCTGGAACCCGGCAGTAAACTGTGCAGTGGTTGGGTTTGTCCTAGTGCCTCCTAAAGACGTCGACGAATATAGTCCTCATGCGCTTGGAAGCTTCAATCTCCCGTTCCATTGGCGCCAACATTCTGGCGTACAGTCATTATCGCTGACGAGGCACGTCCCTCTGGACTCCACGACAGCGCTTCTGCGCGTCTTGTACAGAAACGATCAGGACACACAAACGACCATCCAAAGCTCCAAACAGGTAGGAAAGATGGTACAGCAGAACTCACCGCTCCCCGCAACTCCGAACATCTTTAACACTATGCGACACAAATGAGTGTGCTGAGGAGTGGGAACCGCACAAAGACCCCGTAACAGAGCTTGCCCTCTGTTACGCTTTTTTGGGACTTGTCGCCCGCCGAGGACGAACAAAAAAAGCAGTCCCTAAGTTAACGGAGCTTTCTTTGTGTTACGTCGTCTGCGTCCGGTGCGCCAGGTTTCCATTCCTCAACACACTACCGTAGACTTTCCGCTCGCAGTTCAACTGGTCTTTGGTAACTAACGTCAACAACGCGACCCCTTTATCCGTAAGCAAGCCTCTGATTCTTCCAACACCTGCCTCCCGGGTCCATTGTACCCCTGAAGTGTGCGCGATCTTCATCGACTTTCCCATTGTCGTCACCTTCGCACCAGTGCACACCCATTCTGTAAAAAGATATTCTACATTACTTCCTCAGGGGCACCGGGTTTCTCTGAGGCTGCGGCACCCCATGGATCCAATGCCTTGCCTCCGCGGCAGACACCCTGACTACACTCACTCCGCGCTGGAACCCAACAGGTTGGACATGTAGCGTGTTGTGCTCTTTCGCAATCACCTGGCACGGCACTGACCACTTGTGGGCCTTCATGAAAACCGACGGCGACCCTCTACGAGTCTCCGGCGACCGCCCATGTCACCAACGCGATGTCGCGCTTATCTTCCCTACCACCAAACTCTTCTCCGCCTGTCGTACCCATCGACACATATTTCAGCACTGTCGGGAAACGCAACTCCAGAAGTGCATCTACTCTAACAGCTTCCAGCGGTGTCAAAGGCAGCTCATTTGAGTGCCTCGCGTCCGTCCCTACCAACACCATTACCGACGCCAGCCCTGTTGCCGGGTGCGGGGTGTTGTTGTGTGCGATCACAGCAGAACTCACAGCAGAACTCACAGCTCCGAACCACTCCATACGTCCGCTCCGTGCAAAGCCTTCGAAAACCCCCGGTGACTACACCCGAAGTCGTCAGCTACCACGAACGGGTTGCATGACCGAAACTAACTCATTGAAACAGTCTCTGTCCAGGGTCGCGGGCCTCGACACAGCTATTGGTGCGCTAAACAAACGACGACAGAGCAAACAGTCTCGACAGAAGTCCTCCACGTCATTGATTATGCCCGGCCACCAAAAGTACTTAGTGACTAGCCTCGGCATCCTTTGCCCCCGGATGTTCTCCAACTCGTCCATAATGATGGTAGGTCATCACTGGTAGTGATTCCTCACCCACAGCCCATTCGGTGCTCTATGGATGCGCTCCTGATGATAAACAACGCAGCACAGAAGTAGTCCTGCCACCTCTCCACGAAGAACCTCACGGCGTACAACTCCCTTTTTCGCGCGCCCCACCGCTGTTGACACTCGTCCAGCTTTTTGCTACCGAATTCGATGGGTTCGCACCCCCGGGTTCAGTCCTGAATGATGCACCCTTACATTGCACGGTGCTTGCACTCTCATCAGGTCTGCTATTACGCCCATGCTCAACATGTCGTCTATCTGTTTATCTAGTTCCTCTCGCAACTCCGGTCGTAGCGGCCTCAACGTGTGCTTCGCCGGCTTTCCATGTACTTCGAACTCTACGCTATGCCGTGTTCTGCCAGTCCTTGGTCGTAACCAACACTTTCGAGTGTTTCTGCAACAAGTCCTCTCTCTAACGGCAGCATCTAGATGGGACGTCATACCCGTTGTTTGCACTGGCCTTCGTCTGACTTCTCCTCCTTCACAAGTGAAACCACATGAACCTTCCCACATGGAACTGACACTTACACGCACCGAAGATGCCTCGAGCAACCATGTCCGGTACCCCCAGTATCAACTCATCGCCCTTTGGTTCCTCGCTGGAATATAGCACAAGGAATATAGCACAACGGCCCTCCTGCGTTCGGTAGCCAACGTCGCCTTGAACAACGCCACCTGGTCGAGCACTTGCCTTTTTATTTTCTCGGCGTTCCTTGTCGACCGTGCGCTTCTTCCCCTCCAGCCGATCGATCTTCGTCGCCGCTTCTAAACACGCGTCGTAAAGGGCCTTCCCTGAGTTCAGCGTCGATGTGCTAGTAATCAGTTGGTTGCCCTTGTCGTACATCTCGATTCCCAGGCCGCCTATCCTTTCCGAGCACACGAAACCGGCAATCCTTTCCTTCGGCTCGCGACCCAACTCATTCATCACCTGGCCGCCCCAAATTCTGATCTCATTCGCTTTGCCGTCGCGCCCTCGAGGTCACTCTCTCACCAACAGCTACCGCAGGGTAGTCTCTTTCGCTGCGTCCAGGTCCAAGCAGGCTTACGCTCGGTCGTTCAGTGACTATTCTCAGAGCAACGTCGTCATCGTCGTCGTCCTTGTACCGAGCCGCCACCCCCACAGACCCAACCTCGGTCACTTCTACCGTTCCTTGCTGATACCGCCACTCGGATCCGCCACTCGGATCCGTCACTCGGATCCGTCACTCGCGGGTCGGGGTAGTTCCTCTGTGCCCTTCATTGAGCCGTCATGCTTGGATGTAGTTACTTCGTTAGCTGACAAAGTACAAGCTCCCTGTGTCCTTTTGAAAGAGGTGAGGTTAGTCTCACAGGGAGGTGAGGTTAGTCTCACAGGGAGGTGAGGTTAGTCTCACAGGGAGGTGAGGTTAGTCTCACAGGGAGGTGAGGTTAGTCTCACAGGGAGGTGAGGTTAGTCTCACAGGGAGGTGAGGTTAGTCTCACAGGGAGGTGAGGTTAGTCTCACAGGGAGGTGAGGTTAGTCTCTGTGTGCGTTTATGACATCGATGCCTCCAGCTCGTTGCTTCGCAGGCCTCGTCTAATGGCTTCCGCAGTAGTGCCGAGTTGCCCGAGAACTAGTCCCATCACTTACGCAAAGTGAGTGCTTCGGAGCCGCCTTCGCTCCCGATCTTCGTTGTCCTATCCCCATGCGACTACTGGATGGGTAGCTTGCGTATTAGAGAATCGCCTCCGTCCGTGTTCGCGCACAGCACTTGACAATTGTGCGTCACACGGCTGCCTCGGCTAATTTTCACTTCAGATGAAGCCGTCGATTTCCGACTCTGGTCACTGGCGGCTTCATTCCCATGGACTCCTGGGCCTTTACTGTCCCACTCTCGCCGAACCCCTATTTAGGCCTTATACCGAGCGAATCTGGCCAAGAGTCCAGCTAATGCCGAGCGAATACCGACCCAGAGCAAGTCTATACTGAGTTCTTTCGAAAATGCAAAGAAGAAAAGACTCTAGACATGGCACTATTCCAGCTAATACCAATTAAGCTACTCGGGCGCTTGACAAGAAGATCGCCTTAGAAGATCTAGTTGAGGTCCGCGACAAATACACCGACGGGTGCCACCCAGACTGGGTTAAAAGATTTAGGGCTCTGGTGACCGACCTAACTAAGAAGGCGATACCGCAGTTAGACTTAAACCCATTATTGACAACCCGGGAGTTTCGGGAGGCACAGAAAGACAAGCAACCGACATTTGCGAGGTCTGCGTCCTCTTCGAAGTCGTATATAGCACCTCCGATGCCGGCCCGTACGCAATCACGAGGTCTGGAGGAAGTCAGACGTGATGACTCATCAGTATACAGCAGTCTAGACTCAGAACCACGTAGGCGTCGACAGGAGCAGACATACGGGTTTGAGGTAGTGGAAGACATCGAAAGTCTAATGTTCGACCCAATGTCGTTGATCATACAGTTAAAACGGAAGAAGGCCAGTATCCCTAAGTTGTTTGAGATGAAGGTGCCCGTGATAACACAAGCGATATACCACCCATCTATCGAGAATTCTGAGCTATTAATCGATGCGCTAGACGCTATACGAAGTGAGGGAGTAATATCCCAACGACAGAGAGATAGATTGTTGATATCGATAATCGCATACGGTAAAGATGCAACTATGAAGCGATTAGAAGCAGGCACATTAGATCGTCCCTTGAACATCTATGCTAAGAGTTCAAGGAAGAAGCCTGGCGACAACAAGACCTCAAAGAAGTCGTATGATCAGAAAACCAGTAACTCGAATCAATCGAACAACTATAAAGGCAAGAAGCAATATAACAATAAGAATAGACGAAATAGCTATAAGACGACCGAGGCCACGAACAACTGGACAGAAACATCCAAATAGGATGTAGGCAAGAGTGGTAATACGCAGGTCCACTCGGAGCCAGTCCAGAAAGAGGTACTCGAAGAGTTTGCAAGTGATGGTGAAACATCATCCACTTCGTCGACGGTGCATAGTTTTACAGGGGGCGGCCAAATGTCAGCAGCCTTTCTGTTTGGTCATAAAGTGCCGCGTCAATCCCAGCCTAGCAACGTAGACCATAGTCACTCCGCCATTGACTGCAAGCAGGTCGCTTTTAGGTTCACTCCTCTTCCTAGGATGCTGAGACCTGCCCTGGCACCCACGACCATCTCACTTTTCTGGCGACGGCTACCTCCTGGGAATGAATAGCACTCTCGAGTACACATCGCGACGGCAACTACTCCGACATGACGCTGGCTCAAGTAGTGTAACGATTCACAGCGCCACATGGATATCTCCGATCTTAGCCTTCACTGGCCGAGGACCAATGTTACCCGGGTGGTCCACAGATGGATCTCGCTTAGGGGAACAACTGACCAGCCTCCATGAGGCGAAAGAGAGCTTTCCGACTTGTCCATGTAGCGAATAGTGTTACTCAAAGAGTGTGGATGCGAAACCGCTGGGTGTGACTGACTGGAAAGATTAAAGACCACTACGTCACAGGCGACCGTGCCACTCTCGGCCATGTGAGACTCACACACTCTCTCGATCGGTACGCATAGTATTTGCCCCGGTGTTTGAATGTGGTCCTCAGTTAGTGGTATGGTATGAAACGGTCACTCACGATTGATTGTGTGGAATTCACACACTCACGATTGTGTGGAATTCACACACTCACGATTGTGTGGAATTCACACACTCACGATTGTGTGGAATTCACACATTCACAACCGTATCCAACTCGCAGGCACAGAACCCAAGTTCATCCCACCTCACCGTTGTGAGCCAAAAATCAATCCCCGAAAGCTGACTTACTTGACAGGTCTGACTAGCCAGGTCTAAATACTAAACAAGGGCTCTTCAGACCAAGGGCTGTTTAGGCCAAGGGCTCTTTAGGTTAGGGGCTCGTTAGGCCAGGAGATATCATGGTTCATTAGCCGGAACTGAGGGGCCGCTCTCTCCTTAAAAAGTCTGTACATCGTTAACTAACGTCTTAATGAATGAATCAAATCTTGTCAGCACAGTCGCACTCCTTACCAGGAGCACAGACTCAACCAGACTTGCTACCGGCTTCAGGAGCAGCACGGTCTGGATTGGAGGTGATCAGGTCAGTGGTAGTGGTTTCAGTGGTAGTGGTATCAAGTCCAGTGGTGGTCTCAGCGGTAGTGGTCTCAGCGGTAGTGGTCTCCAGCTGAGTAGTGGTCTCCAGCTGAGTAGTGGTATTTTCCTCGGTAGCAGGGGCGGTAGAAGTCGCTTGATCGAGTTGGGTGTCCTCGATGGCTTCGACGGTATCAAAGGGAACCATGCGGGCATTCTTAGGCACAGTGGTGAAGGTAGGTTGGGTAGCAGGCCTAGTACGGCTGGAGGACTCGTAAGTGGATTGGGTAAGAGGTCTGGTCTTAGGCGTGGTCTCAGTAGTGGGCTGCGTAGGGGGGCGAGTGGGAATGGTCTTGTAGTCGGTGGTTTCCTGTTGAGTAGTGGCCTGCTGAGTGGTGGTCTGTTGGGGGGTGGTACCGCATTCTTGAGTGGTAGGGCAGGTGACTTCTTCGGTGGTGTGAGAAGTGGGAGGCTTGATTCCACAAAGTTCTGTAGGCACGTCGGCATCGCAGTAGGCTGGACCAGAGACGTGCGAGTGTGTTTTGAACGCGCATTTCTGCTCGCAATCACAACTGAGGCACTGCATGGGGGCGAAGGGGTTCCAGTACTCAACGTTGAAGAGATCATTGCACTTGTCCTCGAATTGGTCGATGTCGCAGGCGTTGCGGTCGGGCGCGATTGACGCCAGGTCAGCGTTCATGACCGCGTTAACGTAATCGATGTCGTAGAGCACACACGTGTGCACAGCCGCTTGATAGGGCGCGTAGCCAGCGACCGCAAGGCTGCAGTCGGGGACAGCTCTCCACTGGAACCAAACGCAGTCCGAGAGCTCTTGACACAGACTCTGACAGCGTGCAGCAGTGTCCACGTTCTCGAAGACTTTTAAAGGGGCGAGTCTTCCGGGAATCTGGGGGTTAAAGTCAGCATATCCAAGAACGTAGTTAGTAAAGCACGTGATAGGCAAGGTAGTAACGCGATCGCCAAAGTTCACTACAGTCTCTAGCTTGCACTGAGCCGCGAAATCGCCGATAGTGCTCGACCCGACAACTGCTTTAATGCACTCGTGTTCGCAATCGGCGTTGGTCGTTTGAGAAGTAAGACTCACAGCATCATTACACTGATGCTCACTCAGACCACGACCCTCAAATGTGCAGAACTCGTACTCTTCGTTAGCGAAGCCGATCAAGCACTCCCTCTCAACATCGTACCCCGTAGGTACTTCGATGTCGATCTCCCTGCAACGACACTCGCCAGAATGACCATAAGGCCAGTCATACACCCAGTTACTCAATACAACTGGGAGTATGAGGCTGACAATAGTCTTCATCATCTAAAAAGGGAGACTTCTATTTTGATCGAGTTTATTGAATTCTAATGAGGCATCTAAAGACATAACGATTTCGGAAAAATGTTTACTTTCTTAATTACAAAAACGTTCATAGTCAATCAAATCGACATTGTTAACACACTCTGACCTTGGATACTCGCAAGTGATTACGCCTCAACGTTATCGTCAACCTGTGTTTTCATCCCAACCGCTCGTTCACGACGTCTTCACCTAGTATGTCATCACATGCACCCGGATGTCCCTTGCCACTAAGCCCCCTTCTATTACGTCTTCAAGCACCAAAAAAACCTTCTGTTACGTCTTTGGGGGGTGGCACCGGCTTTCAACTAACGCACTACCAGGGACGGAGCGAGTACCATAAGCCGGCCAGGCCAGGCCATCCCCCAAAAAAACAATCGCTTTAAAAAGGACCCAGTCCAGTCTGTTTCAGCTCCTTCGGTTCCGGTGTTGGACCTAAACACTTCACCACGCACTCGCTGCTTGAATTTTTATAGCGCGGTAGTGAGAAAAGTGCACTCGGCTGATTGAGCATTTTGATTGGACTAGTGTTGAAGTCAGCTATGGTACTGACGTTCTGCTTGTGGCCTTCTTCGTCCGTCTCTGTGCATTCTCGGGTTGCTAGGGCGCAACTGACGTCCGGATCTGGTACTATGCAATCAGTTCTATGACAGTCCTTAAGGATCGGCGTGACATAACTGCTATGAAAGAATTGCTCCAAAATTTCTTGCGCCATCTCCGTCAATTCCGTCACGTCGGAATGGCTTACATCCATGTTCAGAATGGTTGGCGCAAGCTCAATTGCCGTTCGCTTTCGCGTAAGCTCCTCAAAGTCTTCCCACGAGTCGCAGTGGATCGCACACTCCTTAGGCGAGAAGTGGTGACTGACCGCCTTCCAGACGGCGGCTGCGTCGAACTTTGTGGGAATGCCAAAGGCATGACAAAACGGATCCTGGCCGTGTGGTCCGTTGCAAACCAACTGGCCGCCGAGCTGGTTGCACCACCCCACTCGTTGCCAGTCAATCGCGCTCACAGGTTGCATCTTCTGAGCCGTGGCCGTGACTGCACGGTCGCAAACGTCCGGTGGGGTTCGCAGCGAAGCCAGATCTGACCGTGATACTACATCGGCAAGCAGCGCCCATCCCGCTGATGTGTCCTCGTGCGCCAAAGATGCGGTGTGCTCCGCCCTGAGGCGGAACAAGTAGCATAAGCCAGCCAGTCCTGTACATATCGCAAGGCGCATCTTATTTCT